GGGGCGGGAGGGGCGGGGCCGGGCTCTGCTGCGACTCTAGGTGCCGCGTGGGCTCGGTTAATGGCCCGCCCACCCCAGCCTGCCGGCTGCTTCTACGACCAGCAGGGGACGGTACAAGCTAAGCATGTCTTGGCCTTTCTCCCAATAGCCCAGCTCGGCAGGCGAGGCTTATTTTATGCTCAGATGAAATAAAGATACCACCTTTGGAGGGCTCGTAAGAAAGCTACGCATCCTCAGGTGCGGGCAGTGACATGCAAATGAGGTAGGGCGAGCGCACGTGGAGAGTGTTTACAAATAGCGGCCGCGGCGCCTGCGCTTCTCAGCGCCCGCTCGCCTTAACGGGACTGGCAGGAGCACGGTAGGAGTCGCGGACGCGGCTGCTGTCGGAGGGCAGGGAGGTTGGCTCCTGGTGAGGACATGGTTAGGGAGTAGAGCTGGGGCTTACACGCACCACCCACCTGAACAAGTCCTGGGTGGTTGGGGCGCAGCGGGAAGCGGGCAAGCCGAGTATGGGTCTCTCCTCCCTCTTGGGATGCTCAAGGGTTGAAGCCACAGTCTGTAGAAGCCCACCTTGCTCAAAACCGACTGCACTTGGAGACGCGCGAGCCCGTGGGAGGCTTTCGTGAATTTCCTGACACTCCTTTACTCCTGCTGCTTTTCAGTAGTAATAAGAGAATTGCAGTTTGACAAAGACTCCCTTGATTTGTTTCAAACGCCGACACCATACGTTTCTATTTTGGCTTTCTAAGTGGAGCGAATGCAGGCACCTGTGCATTAACAACTTGTGGGATGAACTGTGCCTTCTTCCCCCTCGCGGACTCGGTTGCCTACGGGGCTCTCTAGCCTTCCCAGGGGAAGGGAGTGGCTGCACCTTGGTCCTGCAAGCATCTATTTACCGAGGAAACGCGTTTAGCCTTTTGTCTTTCTCCTTTTGTATAATACGTTGGAAAATGGAAAAGTTTCAGTTAAGTTACTCTAGCATCTGAACATAAATGTCTGACCTTTTTCGTTAACACAAAGTAAGTAGCGTAGTAATTCGTCATTTATTTGCAAAGGCCATATTGTTAGAGTGTTTCAAAAGGGACTGACCTGAGCATTCATACTGCCGAAATGTTGATTCTAAGCCTAATTATTTAACTCCCCTGCCCAAACTGCTCAATTGCCTTCTTCAAAATCACAGCCTTCCCCTATTAGGCATGAAGGAAAATCTTTGATCGCCTAGTTATGCTGTAAAGTTATAAGTGTTTTTTGACAAATGCCTGCTTTTCCTAAAGATAAATCTTACCCTCTCCTCCTTTATCAACCAGTTTCTGCAGTCTTGGTTGACTATTTTGCATAAAATATAACTTCATGCTAGTTTTATATCACTTTCAAAAGTTTGCCCCTTTTTCCTGATATTTATAAGAAACGTGAAAACACTTGTATCTGACATGATTCATTCCTGTAAGGGAGGAAAGCTGACATTTACTACCTGCCATGTAACCAAATGTTAACAGCCTGGCATTCCCCCTACCCCTCCAGCTTACTGGGGTCACTCTGCCCCATGGCATTAAAATAAAATGAACTCTCTTCTTATCTCCCTCTCCTAATATCTTGGGTTTAATTTTCTTCCAGATATCACATTGTTTCTGTTTCTGCTGAATTTCCCAGCTTGCTGGTATCTTATCTCTTATGGCTGTTCTCTTTTCATCTCTTGTGTAAGTTCATATCTGTAACAGCCCACGTTCCTTGATTTCCTCAAAACACCATGTCACACAAGGCAGCTGTATTTAGCAGACATGTATTAAGACTTTACCCAAGGCAGCTGTCTTTACACAAGAATGTTTATTTTTTTCCTTTTTGATGGGGGAGGGGGAAGAGGTTGTAATTATGGGATATTTATATTAGAGTACAAGAGTGGGGAGGGGCTTAGAATTAAATTTTGGGCATCCCTGTTAAGAGTCTGGTTGGCTTCAGGGAACTTATCAATTCTTCAATTTGAGTCACAGCCTCAATCCCTTTTACTATGCCATCCTCTCCTTTCTCTTCCCAGCATTTTTCTGTATCAGGATCCTCTGTGTCTTTCCCTCTCAGCTGCTTGTGAAACCTTAAGATTCTTTTCACTTTGCTATGTAGAACAGTGTTGTATTCTTTATCTTCTAACTTACGGTTATTCTCTAATCAAGACATTCCATTCCTTGAGAAATTTTGCCAACAATATTTCTTTCCTTCTGCATATATACAATCTCTTAATCCTTATAACAGTACTATGAGGTAGATATTACTTCTATGTACAAGAAAACAAGGGCTAAAAAGGTATATGAATTATATGTAGGTGACAGATTCGAGCCAGGTCTATCAGGCTTTAAAGCACTATGCTCTGCCCACACTATCACAATTGAAGTATATAACTCAAAGACATGAAGAAAAAATATATTATTATTTCTGCATAATTAAAATTGCCATTTATTAAAAAGGAATTTTAGAATTAACCTACCAACAAGGCATTCTAATAGTGAGAGCACATTAAGTATGCAACAGTATTTATCAGACTTAGCATTTGGTTCATTGGAATGTGGGTTTTCTGAAAACTATGCTCAATCAACTCAAAGTAGCTTATGTTTCTCATTACAAGCTCCGAATTTCCTTTTCAGCTGACATAATATAAATACAAATGCATTATGTGGCCTCACTTTCAGCAGTATCCTTTATGCACGATAGTTTTGTATTGAAATAGGACATCTCTTGGTAAATTCTTGATTTTAAAGGAAATACTTTTGGGGAGGGAGAGTTCCATTTACTTGAAAATCAGTCGTTTTCACAACAACCATTTACTGTTAATTATTTTAAGGGACATAAAATATTGAGGAGCATTTTCCAACTAAAATATAATTTATTTTTCTTTGGGTATGTGCATGTATGTGTGTTTTAGAGCAAACAGGATGTGAAATAGTTGTCATCAGTAAAATGAAAGCTTGTTCTTTGAAGTCTTTTTTAGCTGTAATTTTACTTTGTATTATAGATAAAAACCCAAATTATTTTTAAAAGAAAAAAATTTTCTTTTAAAATAGTTAAAGTTAGGAACACTTTTGCACTTGAAAATTTCTGGAGACAAGTGAAAGATCAGATTACTCATTGGAAAATCCCATATCTTTTTGAAAAAGTTAACATGATATTGGAAGATAGTGATTTCTTATACTCTTGAGTCATACAGCTGCCCAATTGGGGACTTTTGAACTTGTTTCTGTGTTTCCTTGTTGGCTAGCGTTAGATTTTCAGTTGACTGATGGCATAGGCAAAAATAAAAGAATGAATTCCTAGGAGAGAAGAAAAGATTTAAAGGGCCAAAAAAGATGAAAGTAGTTGCTGGAAATGTTTAAGGAAAAATTAGATTTGGTTCCTGAAAAACGTGGATAAAAATTGAAGAAACCAGTGAATTGCTGATTGATGTCAGCAATGTGGGTGAGAATCTTGAGTGAAATTTATATATCTACCTTACCTTTCTAAACCTGCCCAGTTTCCAACTATTCTCTAAAGGAGCCCTCAGTTCTGTCAGTTGGTCGAACTCAGGTTTTCTGAAAGCTCACTGTGCATCAGACCACTTACTCTCGCAGTCCTTAGCATGTGCAGCTTCCTGCTTTTAGGCTCTTCATACTTTTTCTTTAGCCTGGAAAGTCTTCTCTTTCTTCTGTTAATGTTTACATCCTTCAACTTCTAGTTTGTCCCAAAAAACTGCATTTCTCAAGGTTTCTCCTCAGACCTTTCTGGTCAGAATCACCTGGGGTCCAACATATTGATTCTGGAAAGCACTCCAGGGATGAAGTCCAGGAATCTGTATTTTCAGTGAGCATCCTAAGTGATTCTAATATGCTCAGGTTTGAAAACCTTATGTCTTGACCACAATTTTGAATATGAGATTCCTCCCTCATAATATATTCTTTTGGGAGGGAGTTTTTCTTCTTATCTCTGTTCTCTTCTTAAATTATATACAATCTTTGAAGGAAAATATTAGATGCAGGAAAAAAAACATACCAACATTCAGAGGTAACTACTCTTAACATTTGGTGTGTATCTACTGTCTATCTTGCATCAATGTAATTATATTTTATTAATGAGAACATGAAATAATACACATAATTTTATATGTGCTCTTATTGGCAATATAGTGTAAATATAATATCATTGATTCTTTTTAGCCAAATATCACCAGGAACCACGCCTGTTGCCCAAATTGGGCCTACTACTGCAGCAAGGGAGATCCATACCTTGGAAAACCATGGAGCCTCTCAGAAAGAGGGGGTCAGGTGGAGCTTTATATAGAATTTGGGTAAGGTGATTTGGGGAGATTTAAAGAAGTGGAGTGTCTCTTCTGGATTGGGTCTTGTCAGAAAGCAGCATCAATTTGGCTTTGGAGCATCTTAATTTTTATATGAGAAGCTAGTGTAACAGAGGCAAGAGTCATCGTTGGAGAAGAAGCGGTAGTCACTTCTACTAGTCAGGAGAGGACGATGTTTGGTCATTTTTGTGAGTACACAGCATTATCCCCGCCCCGTCCCCCTCCGCCCCCCACACACACACCACACACACCCTTGTTA